TATCGTCCCTACTACAATTTTTTATAATTTGTTGACAATGTTATCACAAAATTGATGTAAAAAAACATGGGAAAAAAGCGTTAATTACTTTTTGATTTATCAAMATTTTTTCATGATTCTAATAGTGAYAATAACCATTCACGTATTTTTTAAGAATAAATTGTTTTTTTTGTATTTCAGATGATCCAAACATGAGAAATCGTGTTCGCCAGYGAAAAAACGCACCTCATTCACCMAGCCATTTCTGACAGATGTCATCAAAAAATTCCAAAAATTTGTTTATACATACCTCATGATATGTAAAAAAAGTTCTATTGTAGAATAAAAAATTCTATGGAAAAAATGTCAAAAAAAAAAAAAACAGACCACTTTATCCTACTGACCCCTTAATTTAGAACAGAGGTTTATCATGGATTTCATCATATTGACCGATATGATCAGGGTACAATCGAAATATTGTATACTAGTAGATATGGATTTTCATATTGACTCGAAAAGCGGTGCTCTGATTTTAATTAAGATATCCCAAAGACTAATCGATATTTTCAGTATAGAAAAAGGCATTGATGTTCACATGTTCATTATCAAGGGGCGCTTCAAAATTTATGGTCTGATTTCCACCATTTTTTTATAGTTCGGTACTAAAGGCTTCGTGTTATGCTTACTTTATATACTGTAAAGTGGTATAAATACTGCGATCAAAATATGAGAAAATTTCCGGAGATAGACATGAGGACCAATGATAGAGTTTTACACCGCTTCTTTTGAAAGCCTTTTAGTTTTTTTTCGTATGAATTATAATGCGACTGACATTTATTATTTAGTGTGTTACCATTCTTTTAGTATTTTTTAATTGGAATGGTGAAATTCTATGACTATAACTTCAAATTGCTTCCGCATCTACCGTATTCTGCGGATCTGGCTTTCAGCAGTAATACATATTTCTTATTGGATACATATATATAGTATATGTACATGTATATCTTACTTTTTTTAATAGTTGTAAAAATTGAAAATATGTTTGGAACCCATTACTATTTTATTAAAATAGGCATAGCTCTACATGTTGGGTACTCTTTATCATTCTAAGCCGCTAATTCCTTTTATTTACATTAACAAAAATACTCCATATATRAAGTCAAGTATTTATAGCCTTTATTTAATGAATATAATATTAGATTATTCACCGTTCCTCACTTCTTTCTTTCTTCGAATCTGAACTTCAGTGGTATACCAGGTATGAAAACGAGCTTCTGTATGAAAGGGAAGGGAATGAAGGGACGAAATAGAAAGGGTTGCTGAGTTGATATTTTTTACCCTCTGTGTCATTACGCAGCCAACGCTCTGGTATATGTTTATTTCCACAATCCTCTTCCACAAATTTCTCATTGCGTAACAGCAAATTGGAATTAACCGAAACATCAATACCTGCCGGTATACGATATCCACTCAGCACAACATCGTTCGGCAGACGACRTATAGTGCCGGCAATTATGGGATGATAGCGCATACCCTCCTTAATACAGGCGCGCAGATAAGGAAGATTGTTCATATTCTCGATAGATTAAGCGACAGTCCTTGTTTGGTAAAATACTTTTGAGTTCCTCGAATAGTTTTTGTTGTTTGTCTGGATTTTTGGCGATGCAAAATAATATGCCCGTTAAGGTGGAACTTGTCTGTGGCAACGAGAAAAAAATATTTGAAATAACCACATTACTGATTTGTGGGGAACTTACTGTGTCAACGTATCAATTTTCAATAGTTTCTCTAAAACGCTCTTCTCCTTGCCCACCTCTGAGGTGAATTTACCCTCACTATCGAAATCAATTTGTTTTAGTACCTCATCAATATATTTGTTACACAGTATTATAAGCGTAGCCAATGTTTTCATCAGTTGATGGAACTTCGGTGTTTTGATAACCTTCCAAATGGACGGTTTAACTTTTACCTCTTCCGATAATATGAAAAAATTGCGTATTTCTTTCAAAAATATTTTACTTTCCTCACTATCACGATTTTTATGTATCATGCCTAAACGGGTATTGAGTGCAATGTTCACGACACCCTCTAAGGTGAGACGATTAATATCATCAAGAAAGTCATCGGTTACTTCGAGTGTCAACGGATCGCGTATGTGACGTATTCTAAAACAAATTCAGTGTGAGATTAATCTTTTCTTAAAAAAAAAATCAACAATCTAATATTGGTCAAACCTTTCGAGAAACTCAACGTTGATTTCTAGTAACGTGTTTAAGTAGAGTCTGGCATTTTTGGGTTGCATTAGCACCGGATTAACAGCGGTACGTATTTTTCCCCATTCTTCGCCAGTTCTAGAACTGTTTACAAAAATTAGTTACGGGTATGAATAAATTTAATTTACTATAAATATACGTGGTCAAAAGTCCATCCTCACTTTGAAAGAAATCCGCTCTATGCACTCTACGATGATAAACTAAGGATTCGAAGGTACGTCGTTCCRGCCAGATACCCTCATTTCGAAATATTATTTGGTAATTGTTTGGATTAAGATTCATAACTGATTTTGGTTTGCCAAACATGGCGGGAAATCGATAGGCATCGCCATATTTTAGTGTCAGACTTGTAATGCCTTCAATAAAAGTTTTTTTATGGAAAACCCCTGGAAATAAAAGGGAAATATATATGTTAATATATACATATTCATAGTAAATTGTTTGGACATAAAATTTACCGAGTTCCGTTCAATTTTGACACTAAAGAAAATACTCCGGAGGATTAATTTAGCGACGAAATCTTTTGCAAATTTTAAAATTGAGCTTTAGCTGTCATATGATTACAATTTCCTACCTCCTGGCAAAAACCCACGAATAATATTTGCTTGACCCTGGTAACTCTGAATATGGACGCGCATTTTCCCAATTGTTCGAAGTAGATGTTCCTTGGTTTTCCTATAAATGAATGATTTGAAGAATCTATAACGAGCGAACAAAGGTCAAATTATTGCTGGTTTTATTTTTTTTTTTCAAAATTTTATATGAAATAAAAGTTCTATAACACAATACTTTCTTTATAAATCTTTAGTACKAATAAAATAATAATCATTATTTACCTGCATTGGCTCTATAGATGTTGCGTATCCTCTAACTGTCGTTAACTTTAACGTATGCCTAACTACTGCATCGTATCTATGTAGAAATCTCGAAAGAATTTTAACTGGTTTGATGTTATTAATTAAAGTAAACTAGTTTTATACACACACGGCATTAAATATGCTACCACACTTGTTCGCAGAGATATTCGTAATCACTACCGCTCTTGTAAACTTACTGTCTCGGCGATTCACTATTTAGTAGTGGGCATATTCTAATCAACATGCATTGCGAAAGCTTAGGTCAGAGCATTTTCCCATTATTAGAATTTAATTACACCATACTGCACTGTTTTCCAACAGTTTTTGTTTTCTTCTCCTCTAAAAACGCCAGTATAGCATACAAATTATTCCCTTAATAGTTATATTTAAACATAATAAGTAACATAATAAGTGGAACGCTACCAAAGTAAGCAGGACTTTTTGAATCTAGTGCTCCCTGCTATCATCATGACATTTCATCGATTGGAAGTGAAGTTGTTGCGTTTTACTTAAGTGTCAGTATGTTTGTGTTATCGGTGCGAAAATGAGCTTCGAACAAAGACCCAACATTAAATTTTGTTTTAAAATTGGCAAAGCTTTTACCGAAACGTTTCAATTGCTGAAACAAGTTTATGGTGATGATTGCCTATCCCGCAGCAGAGTGCGAGTGGTTTCAACGTGGTCGTGAGGACATAAATGACGATCAAAATCCGTGATCACCGGAAATTCCATCGAAACTGTGCGTGAATTCATCAAAAATCAACCGAAATAATCATTGAAGTTCATGGAAATGGAATTGAATATGTCCAAAAGATCAATTTATCGCATTTMGACCGAACATTTGGGCTTACGAAAGGTGTATGCACGGTTTGTTCCGCACAAAAGTCAGCCAAAAGCTGCTTAGAATCCAACATTCGAAAGACATCATTAA